GGTTCTAAATCTCAAAACAATATTTAAGAAGAATTATTATGTCCCATTGTAGTGAGTGTTTGGACTGAATTACTGCATAATAAAATAAGAGAAGTGGGGAAAAACCTTTTTCCGCGCCAAGAAGATGGAGTCAATCAGCTTGTGGTTGTGTACTGCTGCAGTTTTTCCTTTGCTCTGACTGCTGAATGAGCTACACTGGCAAGTCAGACCTTCTAAGTATCTATTCACTTTATTCACAATTCTTTGTGATTTGTTTTCTGATTACCTTTCTCAGAGGATATATACTGATGTGCTCTGAGTATCTACAAACTAAAGTTTTCATCATTCTGTAACCACGAGATATTAAAATACTTCGGGTGTCGGTCTGTTTGGGTCATCTCTTGGTCACTCTGGTGCATCATCCGTTAACCTTCTATCTGTAACACAGACTGTCTGACATATTTAAGGTAGTTTTGGGTTTTGATCTCCGTATTCATATCTGGAGAAAAGGAGCGTGTCCTCCCTTCCAGATGTTTTCCTTTATGCTTATTGCCGTACTGGTTTATCCACAAGCCTTTTGGAAGCAACAATGGGAGCCAGTCTGATATTAGTAGGTTACCCGGGAGCACCTGAATTTACTGTGCATTTAACAAGAAAGTTCAAAATCCTGGGTCACTCTTTACAATAGCAAGAAGTCTACAGGAGTCTGGTGCATCCCATTTCATGCCAAAATTACGGCATGGGATAGCTTGTAGGATTATAGACTATAACCTAGAGGTTTTTGCATTGACATCACCGATTCAAATTATGCTTTTTTCAGTACAAATTGAAGCTATTGACATCTGACAGGGATTCTGTGATCTATATGAAATAATTGCAATGATTTTAGCCAGGTTCTCAGAACAATAGTAACCACCTTGCAGAAAGCTAGTCCATGCAACTGATTTTAGTGCTGTCTTTAATATTCTGAGATAATAAGGATCAAGAAGATTAAACACCTTCCGATAAGGCTTGTGTTTCATTTCAGAGATGTTACAGGAAATATAGTGTCAGCAGTTGAAACTGAATGTAGTTTTTCCACAGAACCTTGACTAGGTCTAATTAGAAGTAATGCACCACTGTAGAAATTATTAACTTGCAAGTTAATGTTTTTTTGCTATAAATAGAAATGTAATTTTGAATGTTTGTTGACCCATATTGATGGATTTATGTTTATTTACAAAATTACTTGGAGCTGATGTGGTTTACCAGAAAAGTCTGGTTGAGGAAACATTTTCAGATGTGCATTTACATTTAAATACTAAGCACAACAAAAAGGGTGTGTTGGTCGTGCGTAAATGGAGTAAATATTTTTTCAGGTTTCATTCATTTGGAATCTAGGTTACAATGCTGGATAAAATAATTAAAATAATATTTTGGACTGGCAAATCTTCTTGTTGTTTGTACAGGAAGTATCTCTCAGTTATATGCAATGGCTGGACAAAAGTAACGAGTTGCAACACAGAATTGAATTAAAGTGACCGGGTCAGCCGCATCTTGTTGGAGGGGGGTTTATGGGGTTTTTTTAAATGTGGTTCATAAAAGAGGTTCATTTGCATTTATAGTGAAAATATATATTCTAAAATGGCACCAATTATTCCCAATTAGAGTAAATATTTTTTCAGGTTTCATTCTTTTGGAACTGAAGTTAGAACATTTGGTGAAAATATTCAATGGCACTTCTTACTAAACCGGGCACATGTGTGTGGGAGGTAGTAAGAAACGGACTAGAAACATCTGTTCGGTGTTCCAGGCAATTTTTATTTTATATGAAAAAAATGCCAAACCCCGCAGTCGGACGGCAGCTGTAACACTGAGGAAAAAACATTCAACACTTCAAGTTTTGGCCTGTTAATTTTTCAGCTGTAGGTAGGTAGAGTAATTATGCTCCGCCATCGGAGAGCTATTTGCCCACTCTGCTAATTCGAGGTTTCATGACTCCATGCTGGGGTGCACTAACACAGCAATGACTACACCGGGCCACAGATGTGCACGGGGAGAGGCGAGTCTGACTTTTTGGCACACGCCGAGGAGCAGAAGTGGTGAGTGGGCCGTGCAGGAGGCTGCATTTTCCAGCTCGAACAGCCCTCACGGCTCCACTGTCTGTTTCACCCATTCACAAGGGAAGGGCAGTGGGTTGGATTCTGGGTCTGGATTCAGCCAGCATTTGATATCACAGTGAGTTAATAATTGTAAGGGGTTTTCAAGATAGAGTGACATATTATTGTTGAATGGTGTTGACCCATGGCTTCTTAAAAAGTAGAAAAAAATGGATTTGGGAAAACACGCTACCTTACTAATTCATCCCCCCTGTCTGCACATCTGTTCTTTGTATTAGGATATCCCCTGCTTTTGTGGTATTGCCTTCTTCCATATTTTTACCATATCAGAATAAAAGTTAGCATAAAGCATACAAAAAGATGTCAAGGCGTTTGGAATCACTGGGCTCAGTGCACTGAAGTTTATTCCAACATACTGGAAGAAGGGTCAATCTAATGATGGTGACTAACAGAAGGAATGGTGACGATTCTCTGGAGAAACTAATTTTTACATTTTTTTTCTCCGATATCAAAAAATGAAAAAATTTTATTTTAACGGTTGTAAAATAACATGTAATGTTGCTATGAAGTCTAGCTAGCTGTTCCAAAAGTTTCCTTCAATAAACACCACACTTCACTATGTTCACAATGAAGCTTGTTAAAGTGAAATATCACAACTTTGGTATTTGTTATTTCAATGTGACAATGGTAGGACTGTCGTTCATGTTTAATAGCTAACCTTATACATACTTACTGGGGTACTTTAAATTGGGATCAATAAGTAATTAAAGCTTAAAAACTCCTGCTACACAGTATATAAAACTATTTTAGAAGCTTTCCAATCATACTGATCTTTTAAATCATGCTCACTTAAGTCAGCATTTTCAAACTCACCTTATTTAGTCACCTGCAGTGAAATTCTGTCTCCTTGGATTTCCATGTCAGTTTTTCCATTTCATTGTGTAGGACTAAGATTTCACCTATAGTCTGTATTTCGGCACCTAAGTTTGTGGTCTGTTTTTTTAGATGTCAAGCACACATAATTCCCACTACAGTCAATAGATGCAATATAGGCTCAGCATTCCTGGTACCTGGATTACATATTGGATCTAATTCTGCAGATGTTCCATGGAGATAAAGTTCTGCATCTGCTCAGAATTCACAGGAAGGGCTACATTCAAATGCTGACCTTTACATATTTTAAACAACTGCTTGAAGCTCAACCAATGATCATGTAGTGTTGTTTTTCTTCCCCCTGAACTACCCTATACGCTATTACTCCATTTCTCTGTAACACCTCTGTCCCTTTGTTTTAAACATTCTAACTTGGCATCTATGTCTTCAGCTTGTGTTAGCGTAATAATGAATATATTACTGCTGCTACTAAAATCACTCCAACATATTCTACCTTGAATTTCATGCACGAAAATTTCACTGAAATTCTTGTAATGACAAAGATCAATATACTGATGTTAACCTACACAGAACTCTTTTTTTTCTTTTTCTGATGTAGACCCTCTCTATTTTAGAAATGCTCATTTTGTTTTATAGATACAAGAATTGCCAAGTCTAGGCCTTAGTTTAGCTGCAAGAATTCCTGGAGGTCTTTCAGATGTCTATCATGAGCTCCTACTATGCTAATGTAGGTGATCTTCTTATGTGTTAGCAGAAATCAGACAGTGCTGTCCATACTGCTTCATCCATGTACAGCTCGGGAGGAATAGCACAAATGCCATCTTGGAGTTATGCAGATTAGATTTTTATCACCTTGGCTATTTTAATACCTCACCCAGCAAATGTTAAGTCAGTAAAACTTAGTACATAAATAAAAGCATCCGCAGGGTAAATGTTACCTTCTGATCAGCAAACCTGCAGACAGCCAGTTGTTTTGAGAAGTTCATGAACAGGGACAAGCCTTATTTACTTATTTATTTGTTTATTTATTTATTTGGTACCAGAGAAAGATTTAGAAATATGGTGTCAAATGATAAAAAATTATCCAAATGAGCACTAGGCCACATGAAGCCCTACCTTCTCCTTAATACTGTACAGTAGAAGTTATGTTTAGAATAATGCTTCTGTTCCAGTTGTTGTAACAAAGCTATATTACAGCATTCTACAGATCTGCTTCGCTTTAATCTGTCCTTTTAAAAAATACCGATTTTTCAATTAGATGCTTAAATATATTTGAACCTATAACAACAGAAGCCAGCCTGAAGTACAATAAAAAAATTAAATGTCTGCTTTCAATGCATTTTTGCTACACAAACCCACAAGATCAAATACTAGCACTGTAAGCATATTTTTGGCACACACATAAAAATAATCACATAATGCATACCCAGATGCTTATTGGTAAACTATTACTCTTTCGAATGCTTCGAACAAGGGCTGTATTCCAAATAGCAAATAGATTCCACTCCCGCAGCTGCAGCGGTTGCTGCCTGAGATGTCTGCCAGAGGTCACCATCCCTCTGCTGCTCCTCAGCTGCTACGACTCCCAGCTCCCCAGACTAACTCACAGACTAACTCACTGACTAACTCACCAACTACTACACTGGTGCACTTCCTGAGGACAGAAGAGATGCCCCATACAGCTCTCCAACCTCCGGCATGGAAGCAGGGCAGGCAACCGGCATGAGGAGTTAAAACCTGTGGCAGCCAAGGCTGGATCTATCTAGAATTGCAAATCAGAGCCCTAAGATAAAGTTCAGTCAGCCTGAATATGCCTACCACATATCAGTGCAAACCTACGCTCTATGGCTTGCAGCTGCTTTAAAGGAAAAGCAAACCTTTTAAAAGTAAAGTGCAGGAAAAATGTCTACGTAGAAACTGCTGTGAGTTTTTAAGTCGATGAGTTCTGGATTAATAAAACATGCCGATCAAGCCAGATTGTGACCCTCATCATGGAGAAAAAAGTCTTTCCTTTGGGAAATGTCACATTCATACTTTTTTAGGATTGATTTCTTTCTGGCCATTTCTTATTTTAATGGCTTTTTTGGGGCCACTGACCACTGGGTTGGTGTTTTTGGTTGATGGTTTTGGGGCTCCACTCCGACCACTGCGTCCTGCATTCTGGTTCTTACTGCGGGCTGTTCGTAGATTTTGTTCTTGCAGTCTTTGTTCCCACCTCTGTGGAAATGCAAAAAGACAAAGAGGCTGAGTTACAAAAAGACATTGCCATAAATAATTACATCTTCATCAAAGCTATCCTGAACCTTTGACACTGGTGCTGCTCTTAACAGTTTTGTGCTCTATCCCATAGGGCCATTGATCTCAGCGTGTTATGGCTGTCTGCAAGGGGAATCTGCCACACACTCTTGAGTGGAGAAATTTCCACAATGAAATGGTTGACGAAAATGACAACCGCACATCCCATGTGCATGCTGCATGCAAGTGCACATCTCACGCCTTTCCAGAAATCCGGGGGGCTGGCACCGTGCCATCAAAAAACCAAGGTCTGAGCACTGGATCTCCTTTGCAAATGCCTTCTTTGCTGCCCTACCAAACGTGCTACTTGGCTTTTCCTCAGAAAAGTCTGCAGAAAGCAGACTGTCTTTTCACAATATATATTTAAACATGTAGCTACGAGGGAAGGTGGTATTTACTTTCTGGTTCTGCTTTTCCCTGGGTGGAGAGGACTGGGCATAAAAGAGCTTGTGTTACAGACAAACAATGGAGATGACCACTGAAATCACAATGTTCAGAGTTGCAATGGGATGGTTGTGAATAATGCACCTGCAGCTTTATTCAGCAGCATCCCTGGGAAATTTTGAAAAGCAATGAGATCGAGCCCACCAAAGAGAATAGCTGTCAGATTTCCAAAATCAAAAGTGCAGTGGTTAGAAAACAGGTTTTTACAGTGAGGTTAAGTGGTTAGGTTATCCGAAATACGGCAAGATCCACAACACTGCAGCAGAGATGGCAGTCTTTCACCTCTAGGAACAGAAATACTTATTTTAAGGAAGGCGAGGTAGATAGTAGAACCTGGAAAGCATCTTGCCTCTCCCCTCTATTAATGAACTTTCTCTTCTGAAACTGCCAAAGGCAGGGACTTTGCCCAGTGATCAGAGTGAGAGAAGTGCTCTCCAGCTTTCCTACTTGGTATCTCTGCACTAACTCTGCTGCAACTCAGACTCTTGTCCTGGCTAGAGAAGAGACCAGCCATGCTGTGGTTATGTTAACAGCTGTCTTGTATGGCCCACAGATAGCTCAAAACATTCATTTTAAGTGGCAATTCAAGAGAAAAGTTGGATGCAATTCTTCAGAGATGAATGATGGGCATCAAAATGAAGCCACTGTGATACCTAGCTCCATAGTCGGCTATTTTGTGTGGTCGGGGTCATTATATGTATCTTTATAAAACAAAAACTATCAGCAGGCATTTAGGTGTGTCCCACTCAAACATGTTTAAATGAGGATTTAATTTATGAAACTACTAATATCAGAGGGAATGACACATGCTTTGAGAAGTATTTTGTTTGCCAGTCATGCATCTATTGGACAGTCCGGCAACACATGTTCAAACAGGTTTCAAGCCATAATTAGAAATGACAAAACAGTGTGAGGAGGCCACTAAAACACACTGTGTGCCAGCAGTGGGCCATTAAGTTGACAGCTAAGGGATTTCAAGAGTCTAAGTCGTATGTCAGTATTCCCCTAAATCCCACATGGTACCATCTGCAATTGCAATGTATTTATTCTTCAAAGATTTAAAGCATGTTTTCTTTTCCATACATAGGTTTTACAAAAGTGAAGACAAAAGGGAATGATCAAAGCGTCAAATACAATTTCCTGCAGGAAGCTGGTCTGTAACCTAAAAGCTTCTGCTGATGCATACGTGCATCTTTTTTTCTCCTCTCTATCAATTGTCAATCAGCTCATAATTAAAATAAATATATATGTATGTCCTTAATGCTCTGAAACCTTTTCTGAATTCCAGAAATAACTTTCTTCCATCTCTCAAAGAGTGAGAAAGAGGCAGATATTGTCTTGCTCCACCCTTTCTCTCCATTATAAAGAGGAGTTTACAAGCAGGGAGTGATAGCAAGTGCTATCCTGAAGCACCAAAAAGCAGGGGCATCTGCTACTCCTGCCTCCCTCCCAGGTCTCTATACTCTAGACTTTTCCTTCCAAAGTTCCCTGAAACCAGTGAGGGGATGCCAAATACTTTCAGTGGGTCTTCAGTGGGAAGTATCTGGTGAGAAGTCTGTGTCTCCAGCCTGCAATCTTTAATGCAGGAAAGCCCATTTATCCAGTGCGGTGGATTTTAACTTCCTTTCCTGCCTAATGTGGACTATATACTCATCTGTGTATCACCTGTCTGACAGCTATTTGCCTTAGCAGTGATGTGAAATTCCTAGAGTCATTGTTGTAATAAGCCAGAGTTCACACAAAGATCATCCAACCATCCTATTTAGGGACAGTTTGCAGATAAAATAGAAATAAAATTTTAGAGACCCTAAAATACAAGACTACAATTTTCAAATTTTCACTTACACTTATATGTAGTTATGAGGTATGAAAATGCTAAAGTGAAAATAACGATACCCAGAGGTGGTATGGATATCTGAAAGTCAAGCAAGTTATTCAATGCTGAAGTAGAACAAAGATGTTTAACTTTTTATCAAGAATATCAGCATTCCTTTCTTTGATTGTATTTACCTTAAATCTTTTGTTTAATTGATCCTTCCATTTTTCAACTAGACATCCATCAAGAAGCATCAACCTGAAATTAAGAAATAAATACAAATTACAGGTATTTCTGATTTTGATCCCTGAGATGTCATTCCAGATGATTCGACACCGCCTGAGGCTGAAATGCACCAGCAGGTACTGGTACTGAACACTGACAGTTTCCGCGTATGGGATGATAAGCAGAAAAATATTTTTCTCCAGCCCTAAATGCTTTCTAATGGACTTCTACATGCTTATACTGATACTTCTGAAATTCTATTCTAAACTCTGTAAAAACAGAAAATAGTTTTCAAAAGAAACCAAATTTTACTGCCAAAACTGCAGTGCATGGGCAGTACTGAGAAAACATTTAGAGCCCTTTGTCCTTGCCTGCAGCTATTCTGCAGGGGAAACCCATCTTGATCACTGTTAACAAAAAGTGATGGGTTGGGTAACATCCCATGAAACATGTATATGCACATGTATTTTTACTTATGCCCACTATATGTTTGTGTGTGTTTGTATGCAGAAGATATAACGTATTTTACTTCCAAATTAAATAAAAAGCTGTTTCCCATGCACCAGCTAATACAGCTCAGGTGACAAATCATAACACATTATCTGATCACTTCCAACCTTCTCCACTTCCACCTACAAATACATGAGGACGGTGTTAAGTATTTCCAACATGTAATGACTTAATGAGTGCTTTAAAGTGAATTTGGAAGATGTACAGGCAGTGATACTTGCCTGCCAATGAAATCTGTCACACCTTCTAAGTCACAACCTAGAAACAGCTATTCTATACCATAGGGATGCTGGAATTTCTGTATCTCCTCTACTGCTAATTATTTAACTATTTTAAACTTTTTTCTTCTTCTTTTCTTTTCATTTCTTTTTTTTCTTTTTCTTTTTTTTTTTTTTTTAATCATTTCCCTGATTCTGGAAGGTTTTACTTAGACATCAGTGTTGGCTGGAGACATCAAAACATTGTTGTAAACGCACACAATTTCATACAGCACTTTGCTGCGGGATGAGGTTTACACAGTGTAGCAGGGCCTGACCTCCAGTTTCCACAAACAGCATTGCTGCTCATACCAGCTCAAAAAGAGTACAAAATGCTGCCACTCGTAGCTGTGAGCCACTGTGAATCCATTTTACCCAAACACAAAAGGACTACACATCTCCTTTTGTTTACAGGGAGACATTAGGGAATTAACGTACTGGATTGAAGCTAAGGCCACATTGTGACGAATGAAACCACAACACGGTGTACATCTGATGCAGCTTCTGTTCAGGTCAAATTATGGAGTGAGACCCCAACCCTATTATTGATGGGCAATCGGTGTTTTGCTAGTGACTTCAGTAGAGACACAGCTTCCATCCATTTTCCTTCTGGCATTTTAAAAAGCTGCTGTAACTCAAAACCTTCTGTTTGCATGCCACTGAGTTCAACAGGAAACACATATAATAGTTTATGTTTCTTTTTCAAATCCACTTTAGTGCACTATACGAAATTAAAAACCTCAGTGACCTTTAAAAACCATCACAAAATACTTAGTGAATAGTGTGTTTTTCCATAGTAATGGAGAGGCAGATTGTGATCTTTCACTTTTGAAATCTCCCCTTCCTCACAGCCTCTTGAGGGTCCTTTCCAACAAAACTCTGCAGCTCAGAGCTCCTCAATCACAATCTTGGTGTTGGTCCTTCTGCGTGACTTGGAGCATGTATCCCTAAAATGGCTAACACAAGTAGAGGGCTCTAAATTAATCTTTGTGAAATACTTCCAGATCTGGAGGGGCAAGGTGCTGCGTAATAATAAAATACTGTGCCTGTTAGCTCACAAAAAAACCCTTAAGGTAACCAGGTATCAGGTGGCAACTTTTAAAGACACCTATAAAACGTTCTTAAAACATCAACATAAAACTCATTAAAAATATGGATATGGCCCATCAAGTTCTGCAAGTAGATACTCTATGGTCCTTACAAGCGCGCATGATCAATTAACAGTCACATCCCTGTACCCAAAACCAGCCTGCACGTTGTACGAACAGCCTTCCCTCTGACCCACAGCACACAGTCACACGTACCTACCACGCCACAACCTGTCCTGTTGGCATCTGTTGCTACTGGTACACTTGGGGTGCTAATGGGGATGGGATGTCCCCTTCTGCCTCAAGAACCCAGAGAGAAAAGGAAGCTGTGATTCACCACTCCCTCCCCTCCAGACCAGTGTGCTGGATTTCCTTCTATGCCTGGGGCTAGGCTGACTGCCAGACGAAAGGTCTGGTAAAGTTAGTTTTTGTTTTGTCTTTTAATCATACAGCAGGACTGGCAAGCTGCTCTGAGAGTATTTACTTTTCATCTGCCATCCGGAGCCAGAGCTCCAATGGCTGCAGCTTTGGCTGGTCCCGGTACAGCTGTGGGATCAGAAACATCTCGCTGATGGCACCAGTCCGAAGTATGGATAGGCCAGCGGAGAAGGCCTGGCTCTGTCTCCAGCAGCTCTGTGGAGAGGAGATGTGTATCATCTCCCGTCCCCTCCCCTGCAGTCAGTGAGGCAGAACTATGCCTTCCACATGGTCCTGCCAACATGGACCACTATCTACAGCCACCTCGGGCTTGTACCACACAAAGCAGCTCGTACCTGTGGAAAGCAATCCTGGAAAAACACTCCCAAACAGCTGGAGATGCCTGAACTGCTGCACGGTGCATCAAGCAATATGCTGTCAGCACCTAATGCCACCAGAGTTTATGCTCCACGTGTGAGCCAGGTTTTATAAACATTGCATGTAGCACAGATCTGAGACTGATCAAGCGGAAAAAGTTAATAGCAAAGGTAATTGAAACATGTAGGTGTACGTGAGAGTTATCTTAAGAAAAACTATCAGCAGTGTAATATTAACTATAACTCACAAAACATGGCCATGACCAGAAGGAGAGGTTTGCTGGTCCTCCCTCCCGTCTACCACAGCTAGCTATAGCACTTTTCTGCACCGTATCGCCAGGGCTCACCTTGAGCGCCATTCATAGCACATGATGAGAACATCCTGCTTGGGCTGAAGAGGTGGACACTGGCAGGAGGAATTTGTAAGAAGAGGCACTTGAGACAGAGGAATTGGCATCGAAGACTTAAGTATATCTTTGACTTCAACCACGGTCGTTACTTCATTGCAGTTCCCTCTTTCTACGCTTTTTACTTTAGCGTGAATGACTGCAATTAGAAAAATAGAGGCGTGAGAACGACAAACAATTTTACAAATTTAAACACATCTCAAAATTAAATAAATAAAATGTCTTAAATGGAAAGCTGTTGTTCTGGCTGTGAAACTAGAACTACTTCTTCATGTGTGGGCACGTATAGTGGCTTGGAATAACAGAGGCCTGATCCCAATTTGGTTTTCAGTAGGACTGTTGACAACTGTAAAATTAAACACGTGCCTCAATCTTTGCCAGATCAGGCCAAGCGATCTCGCCTGGAATCACACACACAGCTCCTTTGACTCAGACTTGAACCACCCCTTGCATAAATCGGACCCGTTCTATAGCCACATCTGGCTATTTCCGATTAAGTAATGAATAATTTACCTCACAGAGAGTTGCGTAAATTCAGTATTTTCAATAACAAAATCATTTCCCTGTCAGTTGCATCCAGGAACTTTTCTTAGATATAAGAAAGAAGAGAAGGTTTGAAACAAGCAGTTCAAAAACTAAGAGGCTTAGGATTGTTGCGATTTACTTGGTCTGTACTTGTTTTCATCTTTTGCCTTTGGATTATCCTCATAGATCCTCATATAAAACAGACTCAGGAACAGGTTCTTCTGACTCTGAATACACAAACATTCATCTTTTTACCTTTTATTGAGGAAAACTGCATGTCTGCATGGATGCAAGAAGGTGAAACTGCGTAGATTGCTCTGAGGCTGATTCCTGAGTAACTTTGTACCTGAGAACCTACCACTGCAGCATTCCACCCCTTCGCTCTTGTAAGAAGTACCAAATCACAGAAATGAAGCACTAGTTTTAGACAAAGGACCTTCTCTCTAGCAAAATAGGAAGGGTCCTATTATCACAGAATTCTTCAGTGAAAGCAGCATGAGAAGTGTATGTACCACAGGGTGATCAGCCTGCATCAACACTGCTCCTAGCAGCCACCAGGGCAAAAGCCTTCAAAGGGACCTACAAATGTTTGGAATAAATTTCACACGGAGAAAACAGGAGACCAGCAATTTTAATGCAGTTTGAGTTTTATGTGCTAACTTTATCAGGAGTGTAACAGCCACAAAACACCTGTGGGATTTCAGTTTTGGAGACTCACAATCCATTTTCAAGTCTGACTGAAACCAAGGTCTGATCAGCTAGAAATGCAATTTGGCTGTATATGTTATTTTAAAGGATTTCAGAAAAAAAAAAAAAATTTGTATGCAACCTGTTCTGCCCTGTCTTGTCTCTCAATTCATCTGCCACATAAGCATGTTTTTTCATTTCAGAAGAGGCCGAGTAAAAATCTACCTCTCAAAGACAAAATCTTGACTTTACAAATTCAATGGAATTAAATTTTGGACCCCAACCTACAGTTTTTATTCAAGCAACACTCCCACTGAGGTCACTGGAATCAGAATTTATATAACTAACATCTGTATTTCATTTCAGAATAGTCATTTTATATCGCTACTTCTTCATATATTTCAGACAAGTGTAGCAGTTCATTGTCCCATCTGAACATATCACTATGTTGCACAGAGATGCATTAATGAACTATATAAAAAGGATATATGATATAAATGCACTAAAATGCCATAACAAAGACCTGTACAAATACCTAAGTTAGATGTTCAGCTTAATTATTCCCTTCAAATTGGGGTTTGGATTTTTTTTCCCATACTAACAAAGAAACAAGTAACTACAATTTTACTTTCATTTGATATCAGACAAATAGGAATTCAATTGACATAATAACCCTGTTGCATAAGAACTGAATAAATCCCTTGAAGAAACAACTGTCTTCTGAGAAAAAGCCCATAAAGTGCAAAAGACCATGATAATACATGTTAAATTCATAGTTAATATGGGTTTTCTATTGACACATTACAGATGTTTAATCTGGTATTTGTGTGATCTTAAATTAGAGTT